ACCTATTTAATATTATCCTCCCATCCATGTCTATTTATTTCCCCATGTGCGCTGATCCACCTCATTCTCATCGACGTTATCGCTCTAACACTATTTTGGAAAAGAGTAAAAAATACGAAACTGACGTGACGAATCTGATTGTATGTTGTTTTTTCATCAGGAGAAATCCAAGTGTATTTAGGAATTTTGCTACGTGGGAAGACTGTACTCTTGGCGATTAGATATTCTGAAATGGCAAAGTTCACTACTCTAACCCCACAATAATTACTAGTTTTGTTCGCAATTATCGGTTTTAAAATATCTTCCCTCTCCAATTTTGCACTGAAATCTCCTAACAAAATGTGAATGTAGTACTTACGAAACTGATCGAATGCACGCTTTAATTCCTCATAAAAGCTGCCCTTTGAATCCTCATATTTACTCTCGGTTGGTACACGCACATTCAGAACAATAACACGCACCAACAACCTCTTAGTATTATACATGAGAGCCAATCGTTAACAAATTCTACCATTTCAACAGTCGATATGATAACTCTGTGTACAAAAATGCCTGTCCCTATATGATGATCAGCATTCCCGTTTCCATAGAATAACCTATAACCTGTAACCCTAATCCGATCTGACTTTGTGCACTGTCACAATCTAACTTACATTCTGCTGTTTGTCTTGATATTATTTTCAAACAACGTGACCTACAGAGACTCCTGTTGTCCCAAGTTTCAAATGTCACATTCATTTGTCGTTACATGCGCCCTTCCAAAGAATCCGTCCAAGTCAGTGGCCCTGTATCACATGTCGTAACATGCCGGATTTTTACGGCGGAGGCTTGTTAGCACCCCGCCCAGTCCTCATACTGGAGGACCACCCCTTGTTGGCTGTCCGCGACCGCCTATTCAATATATTCACAAATGTCCTACATACCTCCACATGCAACTTTAGGAATTTTAAAAATGAATATAAGATCAACAATACACTTTCGCTGCTTATGTTGTTATATATATATATATATTTATATTCATATGTTTACTAAGTAAATTACATTCAATAGCCAACATTTTCGAAAATTCACTGATGACAGATAACATATTAAAAGTATAAATTAATAAATTCAGAATGGGCCTGATATTCGTGGTCTGAAAAAGGAACGAGTTCTGAAGACACTAGGCTAAACAATGAAAAATATTTATACAGCCAGAATTTGATAGAAATTAAACCGAATAAAAGCAAAATTTTAAAACTGTGAAAGTATCCTACTCGCTGAAAGTTGTTGAGAAAGAAGACAGATTAACAATTTTAATGTAGTGAAATATTTTATTTTTTTCTTTGACTTATTTAAAACATATTATGTAGGCACGGAAGGCAAGTTTTAAAAATTCAAAGCACAAGGTAAATTCGTCATCACGAGAAGGCGAAAGTATAAAAAAGGGGTAAGATAACAGAACATTCAACGTAACAGTAATCTCTCACTTCACCGTCCGATCTTTTTTACGAAGCAAATTTCTGCTGCACAAAGAGAATACCGTGACTGCCTCTGGGTGGCAGTAGTGGGACATTAAACTCTGCTCCGGGCCTTTGAAAAAACTCTCTGTATTACGTCGCCACCCTTTCGAAATGCTATTAAAATTTGACTGCAAAATCACAGTCACTATTTTTCTAAAGGAAAGCACTTCAGCTCCACGATTTGTCACTCTCCCTCCAACTCGTAATGGCAGGCACAGAAGTGACAAGTATTTTAAACTGTGGGCTCTGTACACGGCCCAGGTATCCCCGCGTATCAAGTTCCTTTGTGCGCTACTAAAACGACCAATTCTACATCAGATAGCGCGAAATGTTCAGTTTGACCGATTATTTGATCGGAAATTTGACATCAAAAGGTATATAAAGGATATTTATGATCTATATACACCGACTACGTGACTATTTCCCTCTTCTGTTAAGCCATTTAATTAAAATCCAGTAGCTTTTAATAGTAGCACGCAGATTCGAAGCTATTCAATCGGTTTTAATCAATACCAGCTATACTTTGCCCTCAAAAACGGTAGTGGTATAACTAAAGGCCTACATAGGATTGCGGTATTAGGAATTAAAACAAAACGTCATTTTCAATGACGTCAAGAGACTGCTGGAGTAACATTAATAGATTAATACTCACATTAGCAAAAATATAAAATGCTTATTTTAACGCTGGGAAGTTGAAAATAGTGTAAATGTGATAACAAATATGTAGTTGCGAACAGAAACAGAATATGTGAAAGTTAGTGAACTAGTCGTAACCGTACAACTGGGTGCATCGGAAGTGCAGTCTGTGTGTGTGTTCGGTGGCTTCTGCTAACGAAATTCTGGTCTGAGTTCTGGTGATCCGTGTGGAAAAATAAGAAAAAGAAAAGTGCCCGGTTCTTTTGGGCACTAAATGTAAACAAAAGAATGCGTGACCGTGTTACAGTAGACTGATATACGTGCCGAAATTAACGAAAATATCACAATATTCAGGGAAACACGATATTTTAAGATCATTCGTAATTTATTTTGATATAAGGAAAAATAAATTTAGTTTTTTTTCCTTTCCAGTAAGGTTCAGGCAGGTTCTGACAATATTAAAATATTTTTGGAAGAAGTAGACACGCTTACAAAATGAAGCTGTGATACTGATGAACGTTTGTGACCTTATTATCATCATCATTTTCATAATTCGTGTAGTGGTTCTTGTTCTTCC